TGCTAATGTTGCACAGGCTTTCTCAACTCCAAAAAGGACTCGATGCACCCATGCCTCTTGTCCTTGCTCGCCACCACCACCATCATCTACCCTTAGCATATAGATGGTCCCCCTGTCTTCCAATGGCCACCACATCAGGAAATTCTCACATTCCTTATTTTCACTTTCTGCTACTTTGTGCCACTTCATTTCCAAAAAAAGAATGGATAAGTGACTTACAAGAATGGTAACACCTACTTGTCACAAGCTGCTGCAAGTCAACAAAGTAGATGCCTCCTCTTGTTTTTTTGCTTGTCCCGACTTGTTATGCACTTTTTTGGCACTTGTTAGTAGCTTCAAGCAGTGGCAAGTGGAGACAAGTGGGTCACTTATTTCACTTATTTTTTACTTGTTTGTAGCTTTTTGGACTTTGTCACACTTGTTATGAAGAAAACATTGCATTTCAAGAGTGGACAAGTAGAGTAGACAAAAACAAGTGAGAAAAAAGGAAGAGACAAGTAGCATTGAGGAGATATTAAAAATGCGCAACCCGAACATGTGAGCTAGTACTGACAGTGAGACAGTTGAACACAGGGGTTGACAAGCGAGTACTAGGGAGTGGAGAGCCACAGTGGAACGTGAATGGACAAATCATCAGTGAGACAGTAGTAGTACTATCAAAAATAGTCAGTTGCCAGTGTGAAGTAAACACGGATGAAAGAATAAGAACGGTACCTACTAGTACTGGTACTAAGACTAGAAGATGAGCGCACGCTCATCCTCAGAGTCATTGTCCTGAATCTCTGGCGCACCTTCTCACAGCAATTTCGTGCGCACACCCCCAGATTTCAGTGGATGACAGGCTCTTGAAGGCGAGTGATGGAAGTCATGTAAGACCTGGTCTTTGCCCTATAGTTGGCATCTGAAAATGCAAAAGAAACAGTGCTTTCCTTGTCCGTAGATTTGTTGTGCTTCCGGGGGACCTTGACATGCCCTCCTTCCAGAGACGACTTCGATGTCACCATTCTTGCCTTTGTCCATGATAAGATGGAGGGCACACTTGACCTGAAACATGCAAAATAAGCTGAGTATATATGACGATAGTATAAAAAACATGCTGCCGCAGTAGAAAGAGCAAGAGCACCCCTTGAATATGCCAATGACATGGTTGTGGTCCCTGGCACGTCTATAGTGCCCCAAGTGGAGCACCTGTGATGCACAAGGACCTGGATGATAAGGTCAGACTGAAAAGGATTCTTGCCCTTGCCCTCCTCGCTGATATTCCCATACAAGAATGCTAAACGTAAACTCTTTGCTAAACCTGTGCAATCTTCATCAGTCTCAATGTTGTCCTGTGAGAACATGAAATTTGCAAGTACGATGACAGGCAGTGGAGGCAATCGTGTTGCACTACTCTGATAACCACTGGATAGCCTAAGAAAATAAAAATTAGCAAGATACAATAACGTCGAAGGAAAAGACCTACTATGCCTATAACAGGTCTATCATTAGTGACTGTATGTGGGATTGTTCTGGTGAAAAGTGTGTTCCAGATGGACTGCAGCATGATGCAAAGAGGCGCATCCTTGAGGAGCCAAACTTCATCATGATCACCAATGCACATGATTAGAGTAGGAATGAACTTTGCCTTTCACAAATGTGCCCCCTGACCACCTCCAGGAAGGTTCTTCATCCTGTACTGCAAACGGGCAAGGATCTGCATTAGCAGTGCTGTGGGAGGATTCATGGGACCAGGAGTTGCCTGGGAGGACACCATGCTGGCAGAGTGAGTATCTGTGATGGATGGCTTCAACTTCTTTGCTACAGCAGCGTTTCTGGTGACACTGACACCAGTCTAGATCATAGTTAGCAATTTTGATTATTAAGAACTAAAGCATCCTACTGCAGAAGTTTGGCGCAAGAGCATTGGTTCGGATTCCTCCTTCTTGACTGCCACTTGATAGCTTTGACCCACAAATTCAACATCGGATGAGAGAGACAGGTCATCCTCAAAATCTGCTAGTTTCTGCTTGATAGCTTTGATGGTAGAACACAGGTTGAGAACTTGGCCGAGAGGTGGAGGCTGGAGGTCATTATTGTAGTACCCTTAGGAAACCTGCCCAGAAGGACGAGGCTGGAGATCAGAGTCCATACTACTATCAGAATTGGACTTGTATTTGACTAGGGGAACAACTGCAGGAGGAACCTCAGTATCCATGTTGAATTGGTCTTTGGATGTGTTGAGCAAAATGCTGTCCTCCTTGTTGTTGTCATTGTCCTTGTCATCCTCTCGGAGTCTGTCATCGTCATTATCGATATCTGAAAGCATGAAGAAACCATCATTTCCAATGTCCTCCTCAATCAGGTCAAGCTCCTCTGAGTTGTGTACCAGAACATTGCTGTGAGGAACAATATTCATTGGTAGTGATGCATTGTTGACCTTGGGAGAAATCTTGATACCCTGTAAATGCAGTTAAGAATTGAATTGATTAAATTATCAATGATTGGACTCACCTAAGGAACCTTTGCGTTCATGTGAGCATGGGCTTGAGAGCACTCGACTGAGTCATCAAACCTACCATCCTTGAACCAAGCTGTATAGTGACTCCCCATGACATTGGCTCCAGCATCGGAAGTACTGATAGATGTGAGTGGGACACTGCCGCTACTGATAGTACTGCCTTTTGTAATCCTAGAAGATGGAGGAAAGTTAGATGTGGAAGGTGCGGTGGTAGAAGGGGTGGCCTTGGAGGATGGTTTTGAACCTATACTTGTGGGAATATTTGATATCCAGCCTGGGATACAACCACTGAGTGCAAAATTTTTAGAAGTGGATATCAAACTAGTAGCATTAATATTGTGGTCCATCAGATTGAAAAAAAAGAGTTGTTTCAGTCAGATGGAGCTTCATGGTTAAGATATTCTTACACTTCACTATCAAGGCCTGGTGTCTGATGGTCATCATCACATGCCTCCATGCTTCCATTGCTGATAAGGCTCCTAGTTGCTTGGATAGCATCTCTCACTGGCATCTTCACTGGTATGATTTTCCTCCCCTTCTTTTTGTGTGCCCTTGGCACTTCCTCCATCTCTTCCTCACTTGCAGGGTCTTCAACATCAGCACCAGCTGCTAATTGACATTTAGGCCAGCCATCTCTACCTTGGATGTCAGCAGCCCTATTGCCACTGGCAGCAATTTCTGCACTTGCCTGACTACCAGTGGCCTTTACAGCCTTCATAACGGGGCGTGCACAAGGGCGACCTGGCTTAGGTGCATCAATATGTGCAGAAGTTTGATCTGTCATCATCTGTTTTTGAAATGTAGCAACACACTTATACCCTTTTTGCACAGCTGTTTCACTTTCCTCCCTTGCCTCTTATTTGTGCTGTTAGCTCGAGTTGTCATTCGCTTCGGAACTGCGCTGGCAGGTTTAGGCATTGTATCAATGGAGGGATATGGGAGCTGGTGAAATTTTAGAGCAGTGGTGGTTGACAGCAAGGCGAGTTTTGTCACCATTCTGTCCATGTAGTCTAAGCTGACTCTGAATAAATATACTGACCCTACTTATTTTCAGGTCTACCTACTTCGGCACGATCCTCCAGCTGCCATAGAGTTGGTATTATCAATATCTCTGTGAGCTGCCAATTCACCAAGATCATTCTGACACAATAAACATCAATGTTCACTAAAACCTTTTTGCACAGCAAACCTCCATGTTCACTAAAACCTTTCTGGTGTGGTTGCACGTCTGTTTGTGACCCTTGAATTCAGTATTTTTTCGGTGATCAATTTGGGTATTAAACTGAATGTTTTCTTATTTAGTCACATTGGTCCCTGTGATTACGGTCATGCACCTAACCTTGAATGTGTCGGCCTTCAAAGTCCCCTTCAGTCCTGTTCGAATCTATCAAAATCTGCTATTCTCTATTCCAACAGCCTGGTGTGAAAGAGAAATAGCTACTAGGCTTGTTAGAAACTAGCTAGCGCTACTTATCCAAATAGGCGCGAGTGTAGTATTCAACCCAAGAGGACTGCTATTGAAGCAACTCCCTTCAAATATGCAAGGGTAGCGATAGCGCAAAGGACTAATAACCTATAGCGACCTAAGACCAAAAACCAATGAGTAGCGCTGTAGCGATCAGTGACTAGCGACAAGTGAGTTCCGACAGAGAAATGTGCGTATAAGTGAGAAGCAGCTATGCACGTTGTCCTATGCGATAGCGCTATGCGACGTCCAACTAGTGACAGCAGAGAAGAAATCAAAAGAAGGGAAAGCGAAAATAAGGTAAGATAGTGCAAGTGGAATGCCCAATAGCGACTAGATTATAGCTCGACTACCAATAGTGATCCCGACATTGCGAAAATCAAACTTATGAGGGAACTTTAGTGATGTGCACTCAAAGCAAGTCAAGCGACGCGCGATCAGAGAGATTGGCAAGAGCGGAATCGATTGCACCAAAACTAGGATATAGTGACTAAAGTGACTCCGACACTAGCAAAGGTCCAGGGAAGGGAAGTACTGTACTGTATGTAGGACGAGTCATTTTATCATACTGCATAGGGGTTCGGGATTGCGTAGGCAAGTATAGTAGCAACACTGGCGAGGGCACGATGTAGTGACAGGTAATAGAACATGCAGTGCTGCGGAACATGAGGACACATGTAATAAGACCTGTGACTGATGAGTAGCGACATTTAAGGAAATATAACGCACCAGCGGAGGTAGGTGGACATAGGCAGGACATGGGAAGACAGAATACCTAGGTGTTGGACCGGGTAGCGCACTATGGGAGAAAAGTGGTTCCAAAGCGGATAGCTTGGGAGCTGAATAGCGCTGGTGACTAGCAGCCTTACTCTTTTCCTCTAGGCAGGGCAAATTATGCCTATGACACTCATACGCGCCTAGCACTGGTATGATTGTCACACCGGACTCCATCTCACATGCCTCCCTGCTGACGTGATCACAACCAACTTCACCTTCCATGCCTAGCTCTAGGCTGCACACGCTGGTTTCAAAACCAGTCAGGTCACACTCAACACATGCATTTGTTCCACTCGGATTATGATTGTGTACCTACTCCAGAACCACCCCATCTCCCCCCACAACCCCAGCCACAAACCCCTCAGCATCTTCACCTACCCCACCTTCCAAATTTTTCACCGCCCCCTCCAGATTTCTCACCACCACGGCCGCCATCACCTCCCTTAGGCCCTGAGCCAATTTAGGAGGATCCAGATGGTGCTGACACAGAATTTACTGATGCAAGTCAGCATTACTATTGTACACACCATTCAACGCTAAATGGTAAGTTCCTTACATTCCGTCAGTGCTCTTTGTGACTAATCTATGCTTAGGACGACCATGCACAGCTGACGGAGCATTTCTGCTGCCTGACACCCCCCCAACTCCCACACCACCAGAGGCTCCTGATGACTGGAGCCCATATCGTAACAGAATCAAATTTGAGATGGCCGAATTCGTGTTCAAAAAATGCCATATGTCTACAAAAAATTTAGATTTCCTATGCAACCTAATGGCTTCACTGCTCATGAAACACCACAATTCCCTGCCATTCACTGATTACAAGGATTTATACAGTGTCATAGATGCGACGCAACTTGGTGATGTCCCCTGGCAGTGTTTTTCAGTTAAGCACACAGGAGAACGCCCTGAGGTTATCCCACTGTGGATGGATAAAGAGTATGATGTCTGGTTTAGGGAACCTCGTGCAATGGCACAAAACATATTGGCTAACCCTACCTACTGAGGGTGAAATTGACTATGTGCCATTCCATGAGTATGATATATTGGACGACAAACGCCAATGGAAAGACTTTATGTCTAGAGACTGGGTGTGGCAACAGGCAGGATGTCTTCGGTCTATCATCATTGCTAGTGGTATATCTGTCGGACATTCCAAGGATGAGATATCAAAGGATCCGGACATGCATGGATCTGTGTTTGTCCCGATTATTCTCAGCAGTGACAAGACTACTGTTTCTGTAGGTATGGTGTAGAGACTCGAGTTTGGGCAGGCTGCTATGGGCCCATATTACTGGCTTTTGACAACTGGCCTTTATTGCATGACTTGCACCATCATCCACTATGCAGGCTTCTATCATGTCTCTAGACATTCTGCATACAACATGCAGCTTTCCCATGAAATGCGCTATAGGCATGCTACCCTTCCCACACAATGCAGCCAGAATTCCCACGTGTGTGCTTTCTCACACTTAGCACATTTCTCTCGCACTTGTTCGCCCTACTCCATATGCAACTTCTACTATGTCTCCAGTCATTCTGCATACAATGCACAGCTCTCCTGCAAAACACGCCATAGGTGCGACACATTCGTGTTCTGCATTCCTGTGTGCACGCTTTCTTGTGCTTAAGCACACTACATTGCACAGCATCCAGGAGCATCCATCCATTGTCCAACCAAGTTCCTAGGTGCGTCCCTTTTTGTTACCAGGACCATATTTAGCATATTACACTTTGTGTTTCATTATGGACCCTTACCTTACATCACTTACATACTTAGAGTGCTCCCTATTTGGCTCCGAGCCCTGGGAGAGCACTTAGGTAGAACTTACATACTTCCATGTTCATTTTTCACCCACCATCTAGCTTCCTACCATCTTACTACCACCATGTTACTTGGCAGTTAATTCCATGCAATGCATGCATCCAGTCATCATCTTAAGGCCCTAGCATCAGTCTATAGCTAGTGGCACTATCAGTATCCATCTAGATCCGCACTTTTCCTCATATCATTGTCTCATTCATGTCTTCACACCTTTTATCAGTCCTCTATACACTTGCGCACCACTCGTGCTATCTTCCCATACTTTGCGCTACCTTCGCATTTCACTTTCCCATGAGCACCTTCAGCGCATTTCTTGCACCTAAATCACCTTTTGTCAGCCTTTGATCAGGGTTGATCAGCATCATTCCATGGATCCTTGCTTTCCTTGCTTCCCCTTTAGGGTTGAACATTCTTGCATTCTGCAAGTATAGCAGCTAGGCAGAGCTGAGACTCACTTATACTGGTTGAGCATTATATTTCTTAGTGCCTAGCCAGGTTGTAATACCCACAACGGGTAATAATGAGTACTACCCTCTCTATGCCTCAATCTGCAATGTACACAACAATGTGCGACGTGCTCACCACAACACTCTTGTCATCATTGGCTTCCTTGCTATACCCAAAAGTACATGTTTTGATTTTTCAAGTATTATGGAGCCTGATCTAAGCTATGTCACAGCTGACAAGAAGAACACTGACGATGAGGTGTTTCAGATGTTTCACCGCCAACTGTACCACTCCTCATTATCCATGATTCTCCAAAGCCTAAAACCTGTAATGACTAAGTATGAGGTTGTACATTGTGGAGATGGTCATTTTCGACGTGTCATATATGGTATAGGACCCTACATAGCAGACTACAAGGAACAAGTGGTACTAGGCTGTATCATCCAAAACTGGTGCCCAAAGTGAGTATTTTATTTTGCAATCAGTGTCAACTTGTACTGACAATATTTGTAGATGTCTCGCAATCCAAACAAACCTTGACAGCAGTGGTTTATACCACTGTCATGAGCATGCAGATTTAGTCAGTATGAGAACTACATTGGGAGGTATTGTGGGATGAATTTGTTATGATTGGCAATCTCGTTGTGAGTAGAACCTGCCACTCTTGAATTAAAGACTAATTTTCCTATGTAGCCATTCACAAATGACTTTCCCCGAGCTGATATATATGAACTGTTGTCACCTGATGTTCTCCATCAACTCATCAAAGGCACTTTTAAGGACCATCTTGTTGACTGGGTACTAAAGTGCCTCAAGCTTATCCATGGAACTAGACAGGCAGAAGAAATTATGAGTGATACAGATCACAGGTATTTCACCGCAGTCATTGGCTTGATTTCATTCTCTAATGTTAATCAGAGTTGCTGCTGTGGTGTCGTTCTCTGGTTTACAATGGTTTCCTCAAGGTCGCAACTTCAAGCAATGGACAGGCAACGATTCTAAGGCGCTCATGAAGGTATTTATTTCAGCTATTGAAGACCACATACATGAAGATATCATATGTTGTTTTCATGCACTCTTAGAATTTTGTTATCTTGTGCAGTGCAATGTCATTACTGAAGATACCCTGAATCAGATTAAGGATGCACTAACTTGTTTTCACCGCCAGTTATTTCTCGACTTAGGCATCATTTCCACTCTCTCACTCCCCTGCCAGCACTCAATGTCCCATTATGCAGACATGATCCGACTTTTTGGTTCCCCAAATGGATTATGTTCCTCAATCATGGAATCAAAGCATATCAAAGCAGTAAAGGAGCCCTTGGCAATGGTCCAGCAAGCACAATGCTCTTGGTCAGATGCTCATGTCCAATCAATGCCTTGACAAGCTTGCAGCATCCCATGTAGACTTCAGTGCACAAGGGATGCTTGCTGGCACTGTATTATCAAATGCTATAGATGATCTCAGTAAGTTTTCATGTTCTGATTTGCTGTTCTCCCATGCTCAACTGCACATACAGCTATGATAGATGAGAATGAATCAGAGGCTCCCATTGTCCACCTGCAACCAGATGCCCCTGCTATCCAACCACAACCAGACGACAAGATCGACAACAGCGAAATAGTTGACGGTTCAACTGTACTTGCTCATGTAACGCTTGCCAAGACTCCTCATAAGTGCTACTGCAATATTCAATATTGACACTCACAATTTTATCATACAGAACGAAAATGGGCACAGACAGTAATTGCCTTAGCAGATGAAGTTGGTGTTCCACATCTGCGACACCTCATTTGATACTTCTTGTTCTCCCAGCTGCTACTTGCCCTCAGCATGAAGGCAGCCTCAAGGTCTTTAATCCTGCTGCTGAAACCTTCTATGCCCCCAGTGATCCGAGCGGGATAGGAGGCATGTGATGCAAACATATTCGTGCATGTCCACTCTGGCAGAACCTTTATCAACGCAATGATTGCATGTTCGTCAACATTAATCCAGATGTCGAAGGAATGCAAGGACTCAAAGTTGCGAGAGTCCTGTGCTTCTTTTCATTTAAACACAACTGGATCGAGTATCCTTGTGCTCTCGTCCAGTGGTTTGACAAACTTGGTGACTGTGCAGATGAAGATACTGGCATGTGGATGGTGCAACTGAGCGTTCGTGAAGATGGCTCCCAGAACCTTGCTGTCATCCACATTGACACGGTGTAGAGACTCGAGTTTCTGCAGGCTGCTATGGGCCTATATTACGACTTTTCACAACTCATGACAACTGGCCTCTACTGCACAACTCACACCATCATCTGTATGTGGCTTCTATCATGTCTCTAATCATTCTGCATACAATACACAGCTTTCCCATGAAACGCCCCATAGGCGCAATACTTTCCCACATAACGCTGAAGATGAGGAATCGTGAGTGGGTCTATACTGAAAAATATAAGATAAGTCGCCTGCAGTAGTCCTCGAACGCGAGTAGAAGTCGGCCCAAGAGGATCTTTACTGAGTCTTTTCCTCGAGTAAATGCGAGGGGATGCGCTGAACGAGTCAGCAAGGGAATCTGCGCAAAGCGCGGGTGCGAGACGCCTTGTAAACGCGAAACGCGCGTTAACGCGACGAAAGGCGAAAGCGCGACGTAGGCGGAACAAGCGCGCTATAGGCGTTAATGAAGAGGCGGAAGTAGCGCGAAGGTCTCTCCAGATTTTCTCAAGAGAGCTTGTTGCAAAAGAATAGAGAGTCGCGCAGTGGTTGTGTTGCAAATGAATAGAAATTGATTCACAGTATACACTGATGCAGGATGATGGGATGTAGTCCGTAAGTAAGTAAGTGAAAAATCTATCAGAGTCCCCATGTCTAAGGTAAATGTTCCCAGGCGCTGAGCCGAAGCGGAAGCGAAGCGGAAGCGAAGCGAAAAAGAGTTGTTGTGTTGTAGAATAAGGAAATATGTGTAAACAGACGAGGTATATAGCTAAAGTCAGTTGAAAAGATAAAGGGAGACGCACCAGCGGATCATAGAGGGACAGGACAGGACGTGCGGAGGACAGGCGACTTGGAAAAGCGAACGCAAAGGTAAAGCGCGAAAGCGCGCGCAAAGGCGCCGTAGTAACGCGAAAGGCGCTATAGAGGCGCGCTATAGGCGCCAGATGCGCGGATTAGGCGGAAGCGTCGCGCGTTTAGCGCGTTTAAGTCGCCTTGTCGTATATAGCGCGCGTTAGTGGAGACGAAGTGGAAATACGGCCTTTGTGAGGCTACTCGCAATGGAGTCTCTACAACGCGCAGCATTCCCACACGCGCTTAAGCGCCCTGCATCACCTATCATCCAGGAACATCTGTCTATGTCCATCTGCCTCATTGGTACATCATATCCCTTGCCTCATGGTTTGTAACAAGCATTGCAGCGCTATTACATGTAATTACGTATTCTTAGTGCTTATTCCTCCTATCCCTTCCACTTCTGATGTGATTTCCATAGTATAAAGTTTGCTGACTTACTACTTCATCATTATTACTCCCCTTTGCTGTACTTCCCTCGCTATTGGGTTTTACTTTTAAATAGCAGTCACCACTTGGGTGCACTTTATGTTTCCAATGGTTATTGTTATCCACTTATACTAGACTATTATCTGCACTCATTATAACACTCGCTTTGCATTTGCACTCACTTTGCACATCCATTTCCTCATCTGGTATTCTCTCACACAATGTGTGCCTTAGCGCACACTCTCTCTTGCTTCACGCTTCATAATGCGCACTTCCCATGCTCACACTACTCTCTTGCACTTTCACATTTACTTCACTTTTCTTCTTGCGCTTTCGCGCATCCGTCGCACTACAAGGGTCTTTCTTTTATCTGGTTCTGTGTTCAGTAGCAGTCCCCTTTAGGGTCAAACATTCTTGGATTCTGCAAGTATAGCAGCTAGGCAGAGCCAAGACTCACTTATACTGGTAGAGCATTTTATTTTCATAGTAGCCTGCCAGGTTGTGATACCCACAATGGTCTACTGCACAGCACACCTGACCCCTATCTACGGCTC